ATGTTGTATTTTTCAATACATCCAAACGTATTTTTATACTTCATTATAAAGCTATCCTTCTCCCTTGCCACTCCAGCACTCACCCGCCCATCACCTAACTCATCGTCGTCTCCATCACAGGATGTTGGCGTTCTCTTCGCAGCCACATCAACCGTCCACCACAGCTCACATGCGTGCGATGGCTATGTCAGAGCTAAAGTGGGCCATTCCAGTTGGCTGTTTGAGCCTGTCAGTGACAACAGCGTACTCATCACAACTGTCCAAGAGGTGTGTGGGCAAGTGTCTCTGTGTGTGTGTGAATACATGTGTATGTATGTGAGTGTATGTGAAAGTGTGTCTCTGTGTGTGTTTGCGTGTCTGTATGCATGCCTGCGTATATATGTTAGTGTGTGTGCAAGTGTGTCTTGTGTATATGTATGTGTATGTATGGATATGTATTTATTCGAACATGTGTACTTGCATATATATGCATGTGGGTGTGTGTACACGCATAAACATGTATGTGAATACATGTATATATGTATGTGTGTGTGTGTAGAGTTGCATTGATTCGTTTGCAGGGATGTGTCGATTGATCTGTGTGAGGGCAAAATGAGTCCTTTCTGTTCGTTGTTTGGGTACGTCGTTGTCAATTGCGCTGTCATCACCACAATGCATTGGGTGGGTGTGCACGATACCTGAATTTTAATGTGTGTGTATATGCGTGTGTGTGTTCACTTGTACATACTTGCATGGCGTCAAAGTGGGTGTATGCATGCTTTTGTACTGTGTCCATATTATTACATGAACGTGTGCACACCTTCCTTATATCCTTGTCGCATCATAGCCTCATATATTCTTCACATCTCTCACATCATTCGTATGCATATACATACTCTCTTGTTCGTATCATTCGTATGCATATACATCTTCTCTTGTCCATATCATTCGTATGCATATACATCCTCTCTTGTTCATATCATTTGTTTGCATATACATCCTCTCTTGTTTGTATCATTCGTATGCAAATACATCCTCGCTCTTTCATTCCTCTCATACCCAACGCTACCCTTCACAGATTGATCTAATGGGCAATGTAGATCCTGCATGGATTGATGAGGTGCTACACACACGACCAACCATGCAATACGACAGGTGGGGCATCATCGAATTAACCCATTGCGTCTGTGTGTGGTTTATGTATTCTTATGCTATCTTTTGATATAGCTATGTCTTCTTATACTATATTTTGATATGGCTATGTCTTCTTATACTACCTTTTGATATAGCTATGTCTTCTTATACTATCTTTTGATATAGCTGTCTTCTTATACTATCTTTTGATATAGCTATGTCTTCTTATACTATCTTTTGATATAGCTGTCTTCTTATACTATCTTTTGATATAGCTATATCTTCTTATACTATCTTTTGTTATATTTGTGTATTCATTTTCAGCCATTGTGTTATTCTTATACTATCTTTTGTTATATTCATGTATTCATATTCAGCCATTGTGTCTGTGTGGTTATATATTCTTATACTATCTTTTGATATAGTTATGTCTTCTTATACTATCTTTTGTTATATCTATGTATTCATATTCAGCCATTGCGTCTATGTATTTTATGTATTCTTAAACTATCTTTTGATATATCTATGTATTCATTGTCTGTGTGTGGCTTATGTTCCTTTTATTCTGAAGCTCAACCGTTCTCATTATCTGCGCTTGTCCCTCCAACGGTGTTGTGTGTGGTGTCTGTTGCCATGACGTGGTTGATGTGATATGTTTCGCTGATGTAATGGGGTGGGTGCTGTGACTGTGCTATGGCACTGGTGTGTTTTTATGTCTTTGTGTTGTGTATTAATGCAATGGTGTGTGTGTATGTCTTTGTGTTGTGTGCTATGGCAGTGGTGTGTGTACATGACTGTGTTGGGCTGTGCTATGGTAATGGTGTGTGTACATGTCTGTGGTGGGCTGTGCTATGGTAATGGGGTCTATCTTTCGGCTGATGTTATAGCCTGGTTGGCGCAGTCCATACCGTTACCCAAATGTTGCATCAATACGTTACACTTTGATTCTGATTATTTTTGCATTACATACTGATCCCAATAAAAGGGTATAGTAGTGTATGTGCCAATACGTTACACGTTAAATCCGATACCTTTGCCCTTGTATTACACATTGGTTGATACCAATGCAATAGTAATATCGTGTGCGTTGCACCAATGCAATAGTACTATCGTGTGCGTTGTACCAATACTATAGTGCTATCGTGTGCGTTGCACCAATACAATAATGCTATCGTGTGCGTCGCACCAATCCAATAGGGCTATCGTGTGCGTTGCACCAATGCAATAGTACTATCGTGTGCGTTGCACCAATCCAATAGTACTATCGTGTGCGTTGCACCAATACAATAGTGCTATCGTGTGCGTTGCACCC